ATGAATTTCCATTTTCTATCTGTGTATTCAAAGTGGTTAGGATAGATATATAGTTACATTCTCTTAATGAATAGAGTAATTTGTTCTAATGATGTTTGTAAATAGGATATCATGTCCACATCTTGTACAGCAATTAACCACTAGGAAGAACGTATGCAATGTGTTAATTATTGAAACTGTCCTACCAATCTGATTTGAAACTGTCTCACTGCTATTTGTTTCTCAATAAAATTATGGAAAAATAAAAAAATAAATTATTTTTTTCTCTTGTTTTGTTCTACATTTGTATGAACAGACTGTATAATGTACTTGGTTCTTAGCCCACATACAAAGTATTCATATTTATCTCAGATAACAGCCATCTGATGCATTTTAAATATGAAGACTGCTTTTTAAAGGGTTTTATCTGTGATAAAGAGCTTTATACATTATCTACATTTTTTAAAATTTCTGCTTCTCTTCTAATTACCATAATTGTCTTTTACCGTAGAGGCAAAAACAATCCAGTCACATATGATAAACTCTATAAATGTAAGACTATGTATTTGAGAAAGACTATGAGTAAAATATGGGATGAGAGCAAATATAGATTCTCATTTTCCACAGTAATATTGAGTTCTAGACCTACTGCTAATTTGTTAAGCTAAATAAAATCTCCACTTTAAAAGTGGCTGCATAGGTAAGTGCTATAATATTATCAGAGCTTCAGTTGTTGCTTAATTTGGAATAGATTAAAACCAGGTGCTACAGGCCAGGCAAGATAGTATGCAGTTGCTGAATTATGAAATGCTTTCACTTATTATCATCACTTTTACTTTTTATTTAAAAAAATGTCAAAAGTACACTGCACTAAATTATTTTGGCAAATAAAGGAATTCTGTAACCATCAATTTATTGGCATTGTACTTCTAAAACTATAATGCCATCATTTGAGAATGTGACTGATACTTACTAAATTTACAACATTATTTTAACAGAAGTAGGCCTTCATAAATTGTTCTTACTTCATAATGAAGGAAAACTCAAGAACACCAATTTATATACTTTTTTTAAAAAACACAGAATCTCAATAAGTACTCTAGGCCTGCCTCAAACCTGCTATGTAGCTCACACTGGCCTTGAACTCGTGATCCTCCTGTCTCAGCCTCCCAAGTGATATGATTAGATGTCATGTGTTATGACACCCAGCTTCACACACACACGCACACACTTTTTTTGTCCCCCCCCCCCCTTCCAGTACCGGGGATCAAACTCAGGACCTTGCACTTGCCAGGCAGGCACTTAAGCCGCTGAGCTATTTCCCTGTCTCCAGATTTATATATTACTGATCTCGATTTCTTTCAGTTTTTCTAGGAAAAGAAAAAATGGATATAAATACTAATTAGCAAGTTTGATGCCTAGAATTTATTTCCAAAACCATATTTTTTTTTCTTTTTTTGTATTTTAGGAAAGGGTCTACAGGGTGTTCAGGGTCTCACTACTAGATTAGACTCATAGTGATCCACCTGTTTACAGTCTCCTAGGGGATGGGATTACAGGTACGAGCCATGCCCAGTCTCAATTGCTGTCTCAGTGCACCCTGGGTGCAGGGCCGGCACTGCAGGCTGGAGGATCAAACCTCTGGCCTCTGCACCTGCTTACAGGCACTTTAATCCACTGAGCTATTTAGCTGGCCCTTCAAAACCATTATGTATTAACCACCAAAATTGTAATATTTTCCCATCTCATTTGGGAAGTTTTTATTATAACTACTAGAATAAATTTTCAATAAGTAGTCCCCACGAAATTTTATTTCTAAAAATTTTTATTTTTTATTTCATTTTATTTTATGTTGCCAGCTCAGCCCACCCTGAGGGGAGGACTGGCATGGTATGTGGTGCTGGGGATTGAACCACGGTCCCCTGTACAGAACCAAGCTTGCCTAAGCAGGCACTTTAGACTGATGAGCTATTTTGCTGGACCTTGAAAATTTTTAATTGACCAGAAATTTTTCTTCTGTGCTCTGAGTTAAAGGATAGCAGAATCTTATATTTTACCTCAAACTGAAGAGACATAAAGTTTAAAAAGCTGTTTTCTACATTGTGATTAAAAATAAAGGACTTTTAAACTATGTTCATGTAGGTGTAGTGTTGAGTACTTTGTCCTACTGTTTTGAAAACAGGTGGTCCATGCTAGCAAAAGTACTTCATCAGAACCCACCATTGCTCTATCAGCGCTGGGTTCGTCCTTGGGGGCAACATGAACAGGAGGAGGAAAATGCATCTCAGGAGTCAGGGCATCCAAGGCTTGAGGTACAGTCACCACTCATGGTTTTCTCACTTAGTAGTAGGGCTATGGACAGCTATGTTACAAAACTACTTTCAGCTCCATTTTGTTCTTTGAAAAATGAAAATAATACAAATGGCATATAGTTCAAAAGATTTCATATAAACATTAAATCTAACACTATTTATAAGGTACTAAGAGCAGTACCTGAGATTTAAAATATTGAGGCCTAATAAATATTAGATTACTCCTAATCATTCCCAAATCATTCAAGATTTATTTTAAAAATAGAAACATTTCAGAAAAATACCTGTCTTCATGATAAGATCCTAGTTACAGGGTTAGCATGAAATTAGTGAGATCATGCTGGTTTAAAACCATCTCTACCATAACCTTGACTTTGGCTCCTTCTGGAGTTATAGTGGTAGCTCTGCCTCCTCCTTTTCATACTTCTGTTTCTTTGACCTGAAAACAAGTTTTTACTTATACTTTATGACTATTTTGTTACTGTGTACTTTTGTTAAAAACATAAAATGTTTTCTAGAAAAGGTAGGATACAAGTAAATATAAAATAATTATTTCTAATATAAAACAATTATGTTCCTTTTTTCATGATTCGATGATTTCATGCATCTATAAATTATTTAAGGATCCCATCTATGTTCTAGACTCTATTCTACATAATACTTCATAAAACAATGTCTTTGACTTATGAGGTCTCTACTGCAGTTAGGAGAGTTGACAAACAAGTTTATATACAGTATTATAAAGAGACCTCACTTCTTTCTTGACAGTAGAAGTGTTTTCTTTATTTCTACAATGTACATAAACTATAGTTATTTTATGGTTTTTTCAACAGATTAAAGCTTTAAAAAAAATCCAAGTAACACTATACAATGTATACCTTACAATGAAATTCAATCATCAGTCCACATTCCACAGAAGAAAAAACTGAAAAGAGGCACCTTGCCTAAAATAAATTGTTGCAGCAAGGAGAGCAGCAGCCGAACTCCCAGGACTTGCGTTACTCCCACCACAGAACTATACCTAGTTCAAAATTTCGGTGATGAGCTGTGCATGGTGGCAAGGCCTGTAGTCCCAGCACTCTGAGGCAGGAGGAAAGCGAGCTGGAGGTCAGCCTGGACTATGTAACTAGACCCTGCCGCGTCGTAAAAAACCTTAGTGAAGGTTTCTAACATAAATAAAACTAGATGTGAGAAGGACCATATAACATTTAAAGATTTAGAAGTACTAAGAAGCTTCTAAAACATGGATATTTAATAATTCTAAAAATACTTGAAAAGGAAACCGTAAGTTTCAAATCAAGTCTTTGTTCCAACTATTATAAAACATAACCCCAAAACTTTACTTATTATTAGAATTATGCTATATTGGCATGGATAAGAAAAAGACAGTCATAAAGGGGATGGGCACCATGAAATGATGAACTGGGAAATTTAATATCTGTACATAGAAAAGATTTCTATAAATATGGGTATCTTTACCACAGTGAAATTACCAAAGATGAATTTACCTGCCAGAGCCCACTCTCCTGAGCCGTGGGTGTGCCCACTGTAATACAGAACATATGTGTCATGTCTAGGTCCATCCACAGTCCGAAGTTCAAGGAAAGCTTTCAGTTTGGAATGTAGAGTATCAAACGACAATCCACTTGTGGAATAGTCACATCCATAGGTTTCAATCATATGATATGCAAAAAATCTTTGGATAGCGTTGAGCATGCCAGTAGATCTCAAATTTAATTCCTGAACATGTTCTGGTGGAAGCAGTGTTGGCTGACCATCAGGACTGAAGAAGAAAGAAGTATTACTCTGGTGTTTAAAAATTATTATTCTATGTAATATCCTCATGTATCATTAACAATTAAGAATAATATATAGTTGCTATCTAAATGCGAGGATTTTTTTAATCTTTCTTATGATTTATGGTACCAAGAGTAAAGCTTGCAAAATTGAAACCTGATTTTTAAAAGTTGCGTACATCAATAAGCAATAACTAAATTAAAAGCTAGGAGTAGTTCTCCAAATGTACTTTCTAATTCTTTTCTTATCAACTGACAAATACTGAACAACACTTTTAAAAAGCAAGATTATACTACATATTTTAAGAACTACAATGACTTATTCTTGATAAAAAACTTACCACATAAATATGAAAGCAATATTTTAATTATATATTTAATTTTTATGTTGAAAAATCTTCACAAAGTTGGTTCAAGCATACTAACTTAAGGCATACAAAAGCTGGAAGAAATTATCTACTAATAAATGTAATTTAAAAACAATTATTATTTTTTTATTTTTTATTTTGTGGCAGAACCGGGGATTGAATTCAGGCTCTTGTGCTTGCCAGGGAAGCACTTATTCCACTGAGGCATCTCCCAAGCCCCTAAAAACAATTATTAATACCTACATCTATCACCTCATAGTACTGAGCACTAACTGAAGACTCACATCTGATCTCGGAATAAATTAAAATAGTACTTGAAGATAACAATATGCAACATGATAACTTACACTGTTGAATTCCTATTTTGTTTAGTGAAATTCTGTATCATTTCTAATGTTTTTTCTTTTTTTTCTAATGTTTTTTCTT